GTGTAAATATATATGTATATGAGAGTGAAAATGTATGAATGTAAAAGGAGAATGTATGTGTGTGAGAGTGAAAATATATGTATGTAAAAGGAGAATGTATGTGTGTGAGAGGACCAGTATTTACATAAATGTAATCTATTGATTCGTGTTCACCAACACGATTTTCCCATTTTTTTTGCTTCACACAGAGCGATTTTAAAAGCAATGTATTTCTATTGGTAGTATGTTTCGTGCCTGCACCACCTCTTTTTGTCCGGTCGGGTCTTGGAAGACCGGAAGCTGTGGGGTTCATAAAAACATTTTCTTACTCAATATCAAGCCACGATTATTGTTTTTATTTTACATTCAGACTTTTTGTTGCCGTCCGCGAGGAAAATAAATTGCTCAGAGCATCAGAATACTGAAATCTGTATTTTTTTAAAATCTTTTTTTCCTTCTAATTTGTTATTATTTACATTGCTTTTAAAATCGTTCTGTGTGACACGAAAAAAATGTGGAAATCGTGTTGGTGAACACGAATCAATAGATTCATTTGTTGACTATAACACAAAATGCCGTGAGACTGGGTTGCAACCAGAGATGGGGTCTTTTTAAAAAAAATTATATATTACATATTACTTTAAAAAAAAGTAATATATTACACTACTTCGTTACTCTCTACATAAAGTAACTCGTTACTTTACTCGTTATTTTACTCGCAGGGCCGGCCCGCCCCTCCCTGCAGGCAGATCACGCAGACTGCTAAAGTTTCAAATGTTCTCTTTAGTTCAGTTTCCATTGTCACATCAGACTCAGTGGCGTAGCGGAGGCCCCCGCATCCCCCGCGGTGCGGGGGAGCCCCGGAGCTTAGGGGGCCCCGCCCCCACTGTAGGCTATCCTCTTAGATTTCGTAACGCGGGAACAGGGTGCAGAGGGCGGGGCCCCCCCCCTCCCTGCTATGTTGCTACGTCATGTGTACGCTGCCTGTAGTAGTACAACAGTGTATCATTATAATTATTTGCTCATCTGCGATAGGGCTAGCCGGCTGATAACTAATGTTCATTGGCAGGCTGGGCAGCGTTCAAAACAAAGCGGGAAGCATTGCTCATATAAATAACGTTCATTAGTTGCGTTGCCGGTAAACATGAAAAATGAAGCGCCACTGCCCAAGCGGTGCTCAGAAAAGCAAAATGAGAGCGAAAGCCGAACAGGAGAGGGCAAAACTACCTAAAATAACGTCATTGTTCCGGCAGGCAGCAAAGGTAGACGTAGACTCTAACGTTACTGCAGATAGACCGCTAGCAACCCCCCCCGGCCCCCGGCCGTCAGCTCCGAGTCCAGGCAGACAGCCCAGCAGCCCCGTTACAGCCGAGCCAGCTAGTCGTGCCTCGCGCTTCGAGACAGGTTAGACATTAGAATAATATAAAGTTTTATTCGCCATAACCAGTATGCTACAGGTTACATTGGAATTGGAATCTAATCCGTTCATTTTTGCAGGTCAGCAAGAAGTCAGCTGTGCCCCCTCCGAGGCCAGTTCAGACATAGGCATAGACAAGGCTGCCCAGCCAGCTAGCCGTGCCCCCACAGACCCCAGCAGCCCCGTTACAGCCGAGCCAGCTAGTCGTGCCTCACGCTTCGAGACAGGTTAGAATAATAGAACGTTTTATTCGCCAATCGCCATAAACAGTACGAGTCAGTATGCTACAGGTTACATTGGAATTGCAATATAATCCGTTCCTTTTTGCAGGTCAACAAGAAGTCAGCTGTGCCCCCTCCGAGGCCAGTTCAGACATAGCCAAGGTTGCCCAGCCAGCTAGCCGTGCCCCGACAGTGACAGCAGCTCCCACCCACCCCAGGGACACGTTGGCCAGCGACAACTCTGTGACTGAATACCCTACTGATAGGGGGAAATTCCCTGTAGATTTAGAAGACGATGATGTTAAACGGTACATTCTGAATAACGGGCCATGCAAGCCTGAAGGGCCATTCAAAAGGGATGGGAAGGGAAGGTGCTTTTCAAAATAGTTCTATAACAAAACATCCAAAATTGGATGTAGAATTCCACGAAAGTGGCTATGTTACTCGCCATCTATGGACCGGGTGTACTGTGAGCAGTGCTGGCTGTTCGGTGACAGACCGTCTGCCCATCACCTCCACCAAGCGTGGAGAATAGGAATAAATTATTGGCATGGTCTCTCTAAAAAGATTAAGGAACACGAATTATCTCGCTCTCATTTGGCAGCATGTGTCGTGTATGATACGTGGAAAAATAATCTGACCATTGACGCGCAAATATCATCTGAGTTTAAGAGAGAGGTGGGGTTTTGGACCGAGGTCCTAACCAGAATAACTGATGTTACGCTAACACTGGCCTCTCGCAACTCTGCTTTCCGGGGTCACAGAGAGAAAATAGGTGATATAGATAATGGTCATTTCTTATCTACCATAGAACTTATGGCGCATTATGATCCAGTTCTGCAAAGGCTTATTGAAAGCAAAAAGAAGGTGCACTACCTAAGTCCTCAAACTCAAAACGAAATAATTTCATTGCTATCGAAAAAAGTGCAGGACACAATCATTACAGACATACAGAATGCAGAATTCTATTCGATTATAATGGATACTACCCAGGACATTTCAAAAGTAGACCAACTGAGTCAAGTGTTCAGATATGTTACTATAGCAAATGATGAAAATGGAAACCCTACAGAGGTGAAAATAAAAGAAAGTTTTTTGGGCTTCCATGCAGTCACAGACCAAACTGCTGCAGGTCTAGAGAGAGAAATTCTCGAATCGATGGAGAGAAAGGGGATACTACTTGGGAAGTGCCGCGGACAAGGATATGACGGGGCTAGCAATATGAGTGGCGTCTACTCCGGTGTACAAAAACGCATAAGGGATAAAGAGCCCAACGCAGTGTACATTCATTGTGCTGCGCACAATTTAAACCTTGTACTCAATGACGCATGCCAAAATATACCTGAGATAAAAGACTTCTACGACACTGTTGAAAGGCTATATGTATTCTTTAGTGGAAGCATCAAACGATGGGAGCTTTTGGAAACACACCTCTCAGTGCCCAAGGCTGGCCAGCCTACACTGAAGAGACTATGCCCGACACGATGGGCATCAAGACAAGACGCCGTCCAATCATTGCGGTTCCGTTATGCTGACATTATGCAAGCGCTAACTAAGATAGACTTGCTCTCCAAAAAAAGCGAGGAACGTGCCGAGGCGACTGGCTTGAAAAAGGCCATGGAGAGCTTTGAGTTTGTTGTAATGACTGTAATACAGGGCAAGGTCCTTGAAACAGTCAACATTGTGTCCCAAGCTCTCCAGCGCAAAGACGTGGACCTCTTACAGGCGACAGCAATGCTTGGTAACGCAACCGATACACTTGCCCAACTCCGAGGAGAGTTTGATGGCTTAAAAGCGCACGCGCAAGACCTGGCATCCTCATGGGGTGTCCACAGTCTCTTCAAAGACAGACGCGCAAGGCGCACAAAGAGGCACTTTTCAGAGCTTTGCGAGGACCAGCGGCTCCAAGACCCAGGGGAGCATTTTAGAGTGGCGGTATTTTACGCAAATATCGATATTGTCGTTGCCCAACTCAAAAATCGATTTGTTGGAATGAGCGAAGTTGCACAGCGATTTTCTTTTCTGCTTCCCCGCGAACTTTTGCGCGCAACAGACAAGGATCTGTCTGAGTTCGCAAGTGCTTTATCAGGCCAGTATAAAGACGACCTGTCAGCCGAGTTTCCTTTCCAGATCCTGTCCCTCCGTAATGCTCTTAGGCCTACTATAAAGAAAATTGAGCGTGGAACAATCAAAGACCTTGCACAAACCCTGCTCATTGAAAATCAGTCCATTTTGCCAAGTATCCCCGATGTTGCCACAGCACTGAAATTGTTTTTAACTATACCCGTGACTGTTGCCAGTACTGAGAGATCTTTCTCAAAACTTAAATTAATAAAGACATATTTGAGGAGCACAATGTCGCAAGAGAGACTGTCTGGGTTAGCAGTCCTTAGTATTGAGAGCCGACGCGCGCACAGTATAGATTTAAAGACTGTTATACAGGACTTTGCACAGAAGAATGCCAGGAGACGTGCTCGTATAAAATAATAGGCCTACAAAGCAGCTCCTGATTGCATCCTCTTTGTAGCCTATATAGGATGTGTTTTATTTGCTTGTTTTTTGTAGGCTACTTTTCTTTTATACAGAATGTTATGTGAACCGTTCCGTTGTGTGAACTCCAATGATGATAGGCTATAACGTTCTACAATATACCTTCATGTTACAAAAAATACACAGCCACTTGTTTGTATTTGTCAATTATGTTTCAATCAGATGTATATTATTATACAGTTCCTACTGACCTTACTGTTTAAATCAGATGTATATTATACAGAAAGTTCCTACTGACCTTACTGTTTAAATCAGATTTATCTATACAGAAAGTTCCTACTGACCTATAGGCCTACTGTTTACAAAAGATGCCTGAAAAAATAAACATTTAAAAAAGTGGCCGCGATGTCTATCCCATGTCACTCTATTATTGATTTAGGGGAGGGGGCGGGGCCCCATGGTCCGACCTGCGGGGGAGCCCCGAAATATTGCGCAACGCCACTGATCAGACTGATCCAGATCCTGAATGTTCTCCTATCTGACCGTGGCTGTCCTCTGTCTCCTGATATCTGTATATGTTGCGCAGTCTATCTCTGCTCACGCTGTTGCGTCGGTGTGTTCGCCTGCGTGTTGGCCATGTGTTGCACTGGAGCCAGACACCGCAAAGACTTCAGCCGAGCACGTACGAACTGCGCATGCGTGAGTGGCAATAATAACTCTCCTTACCAGCAGGCGGCGGTAGTGTGTATTCGTCATTCAAAACAGGCAACAACCGGAAAACAGAGAAGAAGAACAGACTGCGTGATATCAACAAACAACAAATAGCTGTGCGTTAGCTTCACCTTAGCATGTGTTCTTTGCAGGTGTGTGTTGAGGTTTGATTATGACTGATTTTAGTAAGTAACGAAGTAACGCGTGTCGGGGCAATGTTAGTAACTGTAGTGTGATTACTGAATTATAAAAGTAGCGCGTTACACTACTCCGTTACCGACAAAGTAATATTCTTACTTTGTAACGCGTTACACCCAACTCTGGTTGCAACACACCAACACTGTGCATCATTTGGTCCCGAAACGTATGTCATGCACAGATAGAAGCCTCTCAGCTTAAAGATAGAAACATAAAAGAACAATCAGAGCATAAAGTAGAATTTATGTATCTAAAGACAGTTCCAATTTATATCATGCCACCCGGCCCGTCCACACGGAGGCGTGCGTTGAAGCTTCAACGCTTCTGCCCATTCACTTTGAATGGGGTGACGTCACGCTTTGCCGAACTGCATTGTGGTTCCGTCGCTTCGCTTTGCTCGCTTCAAAGGTTGAGCAAAGTTCAACTTTTGAAGTGCAACATTCTAGTTGCAGACATGATGGAGAGTGAGGGGTAAGGTTCAAATGTGTTATAGCTTTACATGAAAGTGTCATGTATGTATAGGTTAAGTGTGGATGAAGTTGGTGCATTTGTATTTCTACACAAATTGAGTTCATTAAGTTTATAAATGATGTTCTAAAACTAAGTCTATCTTAGACTTAAATGAATGAAATGTAACCACTGACTGTTTGCTCTACAGGAGAATCCCTCAGCGACTGACCAAAGAGAAGTATGCACTGGGGATTGTTACCCTGTTTCCCTCGCTCCAAGATCCACATGGGAAGACAGGATATGTGAGTTATTCTTGATTATGATCAAAGTAGACTGTTTTAGATGGCTTACATGGTTCTTTGAATGCTGTGAGATTTCTATAACATGCCACTGAATTTAAGAATTCCTGTAGTGGTATGCATAGGGTAGTTTAATTCATTCGGGCGGCTGGGTTGGTGGTTCGAATCCCAGCTCCTCCTGTCCACATGTCAAAGTGTCCTTAGGCAAGACACTGAACCCCGAATTGCTCCCAATGAGCAGGCCTGCACCTTGCATGGCAGCTGCCGCCATTGGTTATGTGAATGTTTGTGTCAATGGGTGAATTGTCAATTTTATCCAAAGCGCTATATAGTAATTGCAGTCCATTTACCATTCCTCTTATGTCCTTTTCGGTCAGGAGCATTTTTATGACGGTCAGAAAGGCGGTGGGTTTCTAACGTGGCGACTGAAGTCCGTTCAGAGAGCGACGTGACTTCCTGTGAAGTCCAAGGATTCAAGAATAGAAGAGAATGGAGGCCCCATGCTAAGGAGAGAGATAGGCCACTGTGATGATCATCCAGATGAGCAGAGATTTCAAGAGCTCATATCTGTGAGTGTGTTTTCAGTGTGTCTGAATGTTTTTTCTTTTTGAAAAAGCACACAGTCATACATACAGACATACAGTCTTTAATTAACTATTAGTAGAGAATAACGAGTAATGAATATTTATAAGGATCCTATTAATATCTAATAATTAAAATAATACAATTCAATAACGTGCTTTAACCACTAGGTGTCCCTTTATATCAGCTGTGCACCGTTATGGTGTAAATACAGCCTATCTACCAATTGGATCCAATATAAAAGTCAGCCGAATTAGTGTTGATACTGCAAGGAGACGTATTGTGTGAAAAGAAATGTAAGATGTTGTTTAATTGCTGACATATTTATGATCCACGTCACGTTTTCAGTTTCGGCGGCAGTTCTTCCTGTTTGTCCAGAAGTCTTCTCATCAGGGCTCTATAAATACAGAACTACGGCAGATATGTAATATTTAATGCAGCCAAACCGTGTATTACAATGCCGTTATGTGATGACTTTCAAAGAGAAAAGCAAGAGCACTCGGAATAAAGTATTCTTGTATTTTTTTTCAATGTTTTCGGATTTCACATCGCATAAACACCATTTCCCAACGTGCATTGCGGCTAAACCATCCAATTACCGAGCTGAGGATCTTGCCTACGTCTGTTTCCGGTATTTGTTTATGACGATGTGATGTGAGATGTGGGACTGGGTTGGAGATTTGCACAGGGGAAAAAACACCATTAAACAGTTACACAACATAACAGAAATAATATCGATAGCAGAGTCCCTAGCAACCACCTTGGTAACAATGAAAACGTTGTATAGACACAATTTCCTGAAGTAATCTTCGTAATAACTAGCAAACTAAAGATCATGTACATCCACTGCACACATAATCTGAAATAACAACTCATATTTCTCGCATCAAATGACATCAAAACGCATTTTAATGGCCAAACTAACTTTAAAATAGGCATTTTCCACCGAGAATAAAACGAAGGTCGGCCATGTTTGTTTTTTTCTGCGGGGAGAAATTTGAAGATCACGTGACATAGACGCCAGCCATTGGAATGAATGGTGAAAAAAACGCGTTTTTGTAGAAATACTATGTCCCAAGTTGTGGACCAACGTAGTTATTACACGTTTAGATGTGAGACTGGGTTGAGCACCCCCTGCTGCTCCTTTGTAGTCTGTCGTTGTGCCAAAAGACAATGCGGCCATCTTCACCGGCGCATAATCCACACTAGGGACAGTGTAAAATTGAAGCTGCAGCCAACACTGTTAGTGTTGTTCTTACCGGTGTTGGTGTTCACATCTTACACTCTTAGTGTTAGTAACACTGTGATAGTGTTATATTGTCAACACTTTGGAAAGTGTTAATTTAATACTTGCTCGTGGTTTCTATATAAACTCTTTCATAGTGTTACAATTAACTACATGGGTGTTGAATTTTAAGATTTCAAATTTGCTGTGTAATCAAACAGGTGAACCTAAAAATGTAACATATGACTGGAAATATACTTCAGTTAGATTTTAATCATAGGATTTTCTAGGGGTGCCAATAATTGTGGCACATGTGTTTTGGAGAAAAATATGTATTTAAAGTCAACATTTTTCTTTGTTTCAATCATTTTACTTCAGGGCACTGTATCTATGTGTCTTGTTCATGTAACCAAGCAAACACAAACATTATATTTATAGAGTCAACACACTTTTTTATTAATATGTAATGTTGAAACGTAATGCAGTGGGTGTTTTACAGTGGGCTTCACTGAGGAAAGAGTAGAAATCCACTGAAAATGATGCGATTATGCGAATCATCCCGAACGCCGTAGTTGGAGGGCAGAACGATGTAGACAACATCTCCCTTCTCCAGCTGAAGAACCATCGCGTTAGACGCAGAGACCACGCCAGATCGATCAATGTAATCTGAAAGCCTCATCTTTCGCTGGTTGTTGTGATATAATACAACAGAGGTATAAGTTGATCTGCGGCTCTCCCACATGTTGAACCTGAAGTAGTAGACTCCTCTGACGGGGGCTGTGAAGATACCTGCATCAGAGGAGAAGATGAGTGAGGGGAGATTGTTTCTGGTGCTTCAGCAGGACTTAAGGATGGATTTTTAAATAAGGAGCATGTAGGAGCTCTTGACTTGGTTCTACTTTCTACCATGATCCATTGTAGGATTACTAAGATATGTTTTCATTAAGAACGTGTGTGTAGTAGGCCTACCTGTAGTTGGGCTGTAGGCCTGGCCGATATTGGTGAAGACTTTACTGAACTTCAGTGTGATATCAGTCTTGAAGGGTCCGACTGATCCTGAATCAGTGAGACCGGCTGAGAACGCCACCTGAGGACGGTCTGTGAGAAAGAGGAGGATGCTCACAGAGCGATGAGAACTCATTAACAAACTGTCTATTAAAACAAAAAAAGTCAGTGGTTTGGATTCTGATAGCCAGCAGAGATTGATATTTAATATTCTCCTCAGGATACCAGTTCCTTTCTTTAAAACATTTTGACTCTTCATAATCTGTTTCTTACCTGCGTTCTCCCTCTGGAGCTCCTCCACCTCCTTTTCACTGGAGCTCATTCTGCCCTCTAGAGCTGAACAAATGAAAAAGTTTAAAAAATATAGTCAATATCTATTTTCAGTTTTTGTCACTTTTACACATCACACATTTTTATGAAAACAACAACAACCTTGTTTGTCATTTCTTCCATCTTTCTTGTAACATATTATATTATAACATTAAAATACAGCAATATTGACATGAAATGTACATATACCCGTATAAATAAAATACAAATATGTGCAGTAATTCTAAGTGGAAACCCGTGCAGATATAAGAGGTATCTTTGTGTGCAATGTGCAACATTTGGAGCGCTGTGCAGGACTAACGGTATTGAAAGGAACAACATATTGTTTGCATTGTGTGGAGTAATGTAATGCATAGAGTCGATGCTGAGGGTCAGTGGGGGTCCCGGGCCTTGGTAATGAGGCAGGGGAGGGGATCCTACCTGTGCTCCTCTTCTCATTTGCTGTTGCTCTATCCAGGAGATCTGCAATACAAAAAGCAGCTCATTATCTGATCAAAACCGCACATTTTATCTTATCAGTATGTTCATCTGATTTTCTCTTTTCTCACTTTTGTGTTTTATTTTTTGTATTCTTCTTTGGTTACTTTGTACTCCTACCTGTGCTCTTCTTCTCCCTTGCTGTGACTCGAGCCAGAAGATCTGCAACAAAGAGGAAGAGCAGGTTAACAGCTGATAAACTACCTCCATATATCTCATCAATATGTTGAATTTGTTTCTGTGAAATATATCTTTCACTTCTCTTTTCTCTCTTTTTCGTTATACACAAAAACATTCAATGTTTATTTTTTAATAATAGTTTCTGTTTCTTACCTGCGTTCTCTCTCTGGAGCTCCTCCACCTGCTTTTCACTGGAGCTCATCCTGGCCTCTAAAGCTGAACAAGTTTAAACATTGTAAAATATAAATGATGGTCAACATTTATCTTCAGTTTTTGTAATTTTTACATTCAAGAATGTTTCTACCATACTAACATGTTCATTTTCAAATGTTTGCTCGGCCGCTTTTTAAATATGGGAAAAATGTTCAGTTTTTATGAAAACACAACAAATCTCAATGTTGTCTTTGATTACTTTGTACTCCTACCTGTGCTCTTATTCTCACTTGCTGTGACTCGAGCCAGGAGATCTGCAATGCAAAAAGCAGCTCATTATCTGACAAACAACCACACGTGATATCTTATCAGTATGTTCATCAGATTTTCTCTTTTCACCTCTCTTTAACACTTTTGTATTTTATACAAAAACATGTCTTTGTATCTTAATAGTTACAACATTTCCCTTTTTATGATGTTTCTGTAACTTACCTGCATTCGCTCTCTGGAGCTCAGCCCAGACGTCAGTGCTCATCTGGGTCTGACTGCTGCTCTGATCGAGGGCTGCTTTCACTCCTTGGATATCAAACTCCCCCTCTTTCTTCCCTGTCCCCCCTCCATCCTCACCCTGAGCCCCCGTCCAGAGCAGACAGAACAGCAACGCCAGAAAAACTGCAGCTCTCCTCATTCTGAAATATCGCTGTTCAGACAGAGAAGTGTAACACGTCTCACTCTGTTCCCACCTTTATATCTACGTTAAACAGGTCACTGGCAAGGCCATGAGAATCCAGCAGATGGCTTTGATAATGTGATATACATCCAAACGTCCCTGGACATCTTACTGATAGTAAAGGGGAAACAACTTGAATTCTGTTCCTTTAAAAAAAGTGTATTATTCCTGATTTTTCTATATCTCTTTTTTTGTGATTAGACCTTGTTTTCCTCGACTTGTATTAAACTAAGCTACCCAAAATGATCCGATATTTAAAGGAAACCTCTATGTGTTTAACAGGTGTACATGGTGCTCATAGGGGAAGATGGTTTCTCACAAACAAGAGAACTACATGTCCCAGGATGCACTCTGTTCAGGAGGAACTCTCAAGACACATTTATCATCAGGTGAAATCCCAAAACTCCACACAAAGTCAATACACAGCTGCGTTTTACATCAATCTCACATCCTTATTGAGCTGCTTTGAACTGGTTTTGCTCATTTATAAAGGCGGTCTGTCTCTGACCCCACAGTGCAGCCGACAGCCTGGGCCCTGTGTGGGGGGTGCACATCTGGCACGACAACTCTGGACCCTCCCCGAGCTGGAGCATCAAACACCTGGACGTGTCCGAGGTAAAGAGTGACATCACCACACACATCCTTTACCCCAGGGGTGTCCAAAGCTTTTTCACAGAGGGCCACATACAGAAGAATATACGAAGGGCTGGGCCACTCACTAGAGGAGAGGTATATCGCCTCATTGGTTCAGTTATAAGTTGGACACATCTATCAAATGTAGGTAAATTATTCTTGATACTTGAAAATGCTTTAAGAAACACAACAGCTCACAGCTCTCCAGAGGGTTTACTTTATTTTGTTAGCAGCTCATTCCCTAAAACAGAAGCTTCAGATTGCTTTTAATAAGAGGAAATATGAAGGGTCTATTTCAAGGTCGTTATGTACATGTGTTATTTGGCTTTTTTCTTATCAACTTAGATTTGTCAGAAAATCTTTTCAACTTTAATTGACTGAATTTATTTGAAAATGGTTCTTATTTACACACGAATACTGTGTTATATATTAGAACATGTATATTTAAGAAGTGAAATACAAGACAGGCAGAAGTTTCATTTGTTGGCCATATTTCTTTATACTTTTTTAATTAGCTGAGGGCCGATTCAAAATGGTCCGCGGGCCGCATTTGGCCCCCGGGCCATAGTTTGGACATCCCTGCTTTACCCCCAATTTCCTTCATTTCAGAAATACAAATAAGTTTTTCTCGGTGAAGGTAGAATCGAAAAAAATGAGAAAATTCTCGACTTATTTCCTGTGGGTGAATTACGGCAGTATGTCACAACACTAAAACTGTTTACAAACTCTTGCACAATTTAACTTATCCTGTAACTGCTTCACAAACACTTGCAATTTCTCCTCACTCTTTTAGACCGTTCTGCATGAACACTTCTGACATTTTTGCAGGCGTGTTTGTGAAATATATACGACTGGATAAATGAGAGTTGGATTGTACTGCAAGTTTTGTGAGAGGTTTTTTTAAATCATTCAAGAATTTTCACTTTTTGTTGGATTCTTCATTTTTCATGGAGGCATTCCCTGGCTCCACCAACAATGCAATATAAATAGATATAAGGCATAAAACAATACAAATAAAATAGACTAAGTTGCAAATAATGCAGGAGTAGTTCAATAAATAGAAGTAAAATATAATAAGATGAGCTAAATAGTCTAGTTGTCAGCGTATAGAGTCCTGTTGTTAACCCGGAAATGTACCCTAAAGTTAGAAATGTATTTGTATTGGACAGATTGCCTATTTATTTGAAAAAGAATTACCCACAGTAGAGGTAATCATTTCCATCTTGTGCTCTGTACATCCAATGGTGGCACCATTACTCATGGTAGTCAAAATCAGCTCAGAGAGAGTACACATATGGCCACTTTCTGGTTAAAACTGCCATCATTGATCCTGAAAATCCCCCCAAAACCACTCCAAATCGGCCACATCATTGTTTTACTTTTGTTTACATATGCTATAATGCCATTCATCTTGATTAACTCCATTTATGCTAATTGTGCAAAGTGCCCAACATATGCAAGTTAGCATCCGGCAGTTTCTATGTACTTGGGACCCCTACTATACATTACTATCATAACACTTTGGGGTACTCAACATTTCAGGGTTCACTAGAATGTAAAATGAAATGCTGTAATTTAAATACTGCTTATTGTAATAATAGATAAACATGTGAGATGCGAACAGATGGTATGAAGTTGTGAAGGCACAGAGCTCAGGGGTTCATCAGTCTTATGGCCTTTGGGATAAAATGGTAGGGGGACAAACGGCCTTTGGGATAAAACGGTAACACAGGATCAGTCATATGTCGTTCTCCGGGTAAAGTGTTGGGGATCTGCGTGTTTCTTAATGCAGAGGGCAGCTGTAGGGACGTGCGTGGCTCTTTGTGGCTCAGTGCTGGTTGGCTGTGAACCAAAGTGACGGGCGGGTGGAGAGGATTCTGGTAAAATGCACTCGTGGAATAGGCTTGTATAAGGTACATAGTCCTCATACACATACACTCAGATACAAATATTAATATCTCCCCCCCTTGCAGACGCTGAGTCTCAAGCTATCAGACTATTTGGCCGATTACCACATCTGGATATCTTTGTACAGCTGCCCCTGCCCCAACGCGTTCACACACACTCAGAGACTGTGTGTGAGCCTGCTGCTTCTGCTGGGATATGCATGTGTCAGCACACTGATCATATCACACATGGATGATCAGGTTGGTTAATAAAACCTATACAGTTTAATATTTAGAGCCCCAAGAGTGTCCAAAACATTTTAACGCAGATCCGTTGTTTACAGTTGCCCTTCCAGTTTGGCTGTGTAGAAGCAACAGCTGTTTCTGTGCGGACAGGACTTCTGAGTGTGTGTGGTGTTGCCAGCAGCAGCACACTATTTGGTGTCTGTTTGGCTCCAAATACCAAACAGATCATTGCAGCATCCCATGATCCCCTCTGTTTCAGCCCTGTTTCTAAAGTGCTGGACAAAACGTGTAAGTATCATCAACATTTGTTTGCCACAGATCTGATTTTCTGAAATAGTGCAAAAGCCAATTTGAAAAATCCCATTGACTTTTATTTGAGGGAGCCATTGCGATGCTAACATGCTAACATCCAAGTTTGCTAACAAACAGACGTCATCCCTGCACCGCTCTATTACAAAAGGACCTATAAGGCTTGCTGTCCTCTGTCTATACCCTGTAATGATTCAATATAAACTATACCAGTCATTTGAATCGTACTAAGGGTGTGTTTTATTTCTAGTTACCTCTTAATAACAAATGTACTACCCCCTAAGTCCCTGTACTTCTTCCACTCTACCAACCAGTAGCAGTTATTTATAATTGGTACCCAATATGTACAAAACATTTACAAACTGTTATTTTAAATATGACTAATTCAATACGTTTGATAGTGATATATCAAACCAAATAGCTTTAATGTTGGAGCATCATCCTTCAGACGCCTGGTGTACCACAACGATGTAAAACACATAGTGAGATTTATATTTAATGCTTCAAACACGATTATATTTAGTGAAATAGTGCAAAAATCAATTAAAATCAACTGATCTGTATATAATGTCAGTATTTTTTTAAGTGTGTCTAAGTAGAAACAAACACACAAATAATGCACTTATAATAAATAATTATATATTTTATGTTAATAAAGACAGAAAAGACGTGTGCTTACAAAGAAGCATGTGACTTTGACTCAAAACAACATCAGGAACAATGAAAACAAATTAAATGTTTGCATTGTGTAACTGTAAAGACCTTAAAGCACAACATTTATTCTGTCATAAAGTCATAAAGTGGGACAAATTAATTGCATTTGACTACGAAATCACATGTGACCTTAACGGAATCACATGTGACCTTAACGGAATCACATGTGACCTTAACGGAATCACATGTGACCTTAATGGAATGACATGTGACCTTAACGGAATGACATATTCACAGATGAGAGTACGCGATGACCTCATCACATGACATCACAGATGGCCTTCAAGTTGAGATTGCGAGAGCTCTGAAGTGCAGGCATTCTTCAGTTCTTCAGTTCAGAGCGGTGAGTGGTACACGTATTCAGTCAGAGCAAACTAACTTCACAGTTTTCCCGACAAAACACGTATTACGTACACACGTAGATTTCTATTCCTACGCACAACACAAGTCCACAGACAGCGCCATGGATAGAACACAGTCAGACCAGAGCAGCAAGGAGACATCCCACAGCCAGAACGATGAGAGTCTGCTGCAGTTTGACGCAGAGACCGTCAAACTGCTCGTGATGAGAGGAGATGAACTCTTTGAGTGTTTGACAGTCTGTGAGGAAAGATACGGCGCTCTGGAGGAAAGATACGGCGCTCTGGAGGAGGAGATGGAAGCTAAAGAGGCTCGACACAAGCAGCAGCTGGACGAGAACCTGGTGACCATAAACCTGCTGAAAAGAAGAGAGGAAGAACTCCTTCAGAGCCAGGAGAAGTCCACCAAGGACCTGGCTGAGAAACAACAGAGCTGGGAGAATGGAAAACAAGGCATGAAGTATGTAGTGGACGAGAAAAACTACCAGGCCGCTAGAAACCACACCTTGGAGACGGAAAAACGAAAGATGGAATGGAAAGTGAATGGGGTGATGAAGCACAACAGTCAGCAGACCTTTAGAATCCACAGCTTGGAGAAGGAAGTCCAGAAGCTGGTGCTCCAGTTGGAAAAGCAGGGAGAAAAGAACTCTGAAGACCAACAACCGATGGAGGCCAAACTAAAACAGGTGGAGAAGGAGAACGAGGATCTGGCAAAGAAGAACACAAGCTGGGAGACGGATGTCAAACAGCTGAAAGACCAGATGAGAGAGAAGGAGGAAAAGTTCTCCAAAGACCTGGCCGAGGAACAGCTGAGCTGGGAGAGTGAGAAACATCAGCTGGAGGGCGAGAGGAGAGAGATGGAGAAGACATTGAAACAGGTGGAGGAATCCAAGAAGAAGCTGGCTGAGGAGAACCGCAGCTTGGAGTTGGACGTCACACTGAATGTCTTGCTGGTGAAGCAGTTTGAGAAGGACATGGAGGTGCAGCAGGAAGAGTTCTCCAAACGACACCAGAGCTGGGAGACCAAGGCCAGTTCGATGGAGACCGAAATAAAAGAGGTCACTCAGGAGAAGGAAGACCTGGCTCAGACACTTCAGAGCCAGGCGACTGAATTCAAAGACATTCAGGCTCAGTTACATCAGGCAGAGGATGATAACAACCTGAGCTGGGAGACAAGAGTCCAGCAGCTTGAGAAGGAGATGAAGGAGCAGAAGGAGAAGTGCTCCAAAGACCTGAGCCAGAAACACCAGAGCTGGGAGACCACGGTTCATCTGATGGAGACTCAACTGAAGGAGGCGAAGGAGGAGAGGGACAACCTCGCTCAGACGCGACTCAGCTGGGAGACCAAAGAGAAGAAGATGGGGGAAGAGAAGACACTTCTGGAGGACCTGTGTCTTCACAGGAAGAATAAGAGCAGAGGATTCTTCGCTCGCAGGAGGGCGACTGAGGAAAGGGACGTCGTTTTGCAGAAAATGCTGCACAAGATGGAAGAGAGGAGATGAGAAAGAAAGCAAAGGGGGAGAAGGAGGAGAAGGAGGAGGCTGGACGTCAGTAGCTGTCTTTTCCTCTCCTCTCTCCCTCCTCCCTTTCTCTCACCTCCTTCCTCCTGCCTCACCCCCTCCTGCCTTCCCATTTTCATACTCAGGGTTTTCTCCTGGAGCTCAGGTTTTCCCACAATCTGTATAATGGATGTAAAAAAACTCACTTGAAGTCCCTCCCCCTTTAACTGTACCTACTTCCTGCTCCCTCACCATCTCTCTCCTGACTCCATCCTTTACCTCCTTCCTCAATACTTCGCCTCCCTTCACTCCAAACTCTCTCCTCCATTTCCCTCACCTCTTCCTTCCTACATCACCCTCTCTTCCACTTTTCATATTTAGTGTTTTTTAGTTGTATTTAGACTTGATTTTCAAATAAAATGTTAATTAAATGTATTCTGTGTGTGCCTCACTGTGTAAACGTATACAGTAGAGATGTTAAGATTCACCGATTCGCATCGGTGCACCGGCATAAACGTTCAAGATGCGAGTGCACCGGTTGAAAGAGTGCACATCGGCTACAGTTTGGGTTGAACCGGGTTGAACTCGCGATGCATCGATTGCGTAGCGTCTTTGCATCGGTAAAAAACCGATTCATTCATATAAAATCCCCTAATCTTGTCAACGCTCAGCAGATACGATCTTTGATATCTTCGCCACTACGGAGGCCGAGAGTCTCAGTTATCAACACACACGGAAGTCGAGGAGAAAGAGAAACACAGCGCACCGAAAAATACCTACAAATCAAACGTTTGGCAACACTTCGGATTGTTCAAGAAAGACGGTGTAATAGTCCTTTATGCTAGGCTATATAGTTGACCGCAGGTCATGGAGAGTAATAAGGTATCCGTAGACCTTTGTATGAGGTATCTTTATTACTTAACAGGTCTACAGCCATGATTCATAGATCCGTCCTAGATGCGGGCTTGCATACACACAGTATCACTCCGCAGCCGCACCCCATCAGTAACGTCCTGATGGTATATGTGCGCGGCACTATATACTACAGACGGTCAACTTGAAAAATCGCTCGCAAATTGTTAACGATGCCGAGCCGATTTAAAGTACACAAGTAGTACGAGGAACTTAGCGACGCACATAAAGAGTCGACATGGGGTCTGCGGCTGAAAAGAGAAACCTGAAAGTTAGACATATGAGTTAAATCACTCAGTGAGGTGTTCTGTCAGAGAGAGTGGTGTTTAGTTTACAGCAGCCTGTGACGGCCAATAATAATTTAAATGTATTCCTCACTGTAAGCAGTTATGAAATACCTGTTTGTGAAAGGTTATTTGTATTCTTTATTGTTCATATAGAACCCACCGCTTTCTGCTCACTGGTGAGTTAGCCTATGAATGAGTGTTAAGCACATCAGGCTGGCAGCTGTATGGGCATTGCTCTATGGTAGCTGTTATTTGCACATTGTTAATCATGAGCAATGCATCCTTACATTGTTTAACTGTGAGGTGTTATAGAATTGTACTCTGGAGAGCTTTTAAAGGTAAAAAAATAAACGGCATGATGGGATGTGCAGTACCAAATATGTAAAGCACTTTTTTGTTAATGTATGATTTGCTGCATATAAGGAATAAAACAAAAATCCTCTGTCGTACCAAATTGAAGTATCATTATTTTTGCATCGTGTTGAATCGCATCGTATCGCACCGAATCGCATAATGTTGAATCAAATCGTATCGAACTGTATCGCAACAGGGGTGAATCGTATCGTATCGCATCGCCTGGTGTTTCAAATGTATCGTTAATGTATCGTATCGTGGCAACGTATCGAGATGCGCATCGCATCGGCCTCAGTGATGGAGATGCACATCCCTAGTATACAGTATATATTAATTACTGTATGTTGGTTACTAAAGTACCGGTATCTGTTCTATTTGTTTGTGCAGATTGTTCTTTTATTTTGGGGTTCAATTACATTGTTTGTTTGTTTTTTGTTTTTTTAAATGTGTTGATTTCATATGAGCTGTTAAAGTGTTCAAAGCTCAGGGTTTACATTTTAATGTTATTTAAAGGTCCCCTATTATACTGTTTTTCAGGTCTCATATATACAGAACATGTCTTGTAATGATACAGAAACAGGAAGAGTCTGTTGAAGACTCAGGAGAACATTGAGGAAGTTGGTCAGGAGACTGGGGCCCTTCTCACTTCGGTTAAATGGATTCCTTGTGTCCCTCACTTACGTCGTTTCCCTGTGACTAGTCCCTCCCACCAGGGAAGCATGGAGGGACGCAAGGAAACCACGAGAAGCAGGGGCTGCTTCTCAGGTCGACTATTTTCATTTCCTCGCTCCTCGGTCCTCTGTCTCACCGGAAGTTGATTTGCCTGCGCCATCTTGAGTACCGTCCCAAGGCTCTTATTTCTGCCGGAGGACCGAGGATCGAGGAGCGATCATGGAGGAGCGATAACCGAGGAACCACCAGACCATCCTCCGATGAAATCCTCAGATACTCACCCCGCCCCCTTACTGTGTATCGCTCACTGATTGGACGAGGCAGTGCATGCACTGATCTGATGCTTCTTGACATGAGAGCAGAGTGAAGAAAATACATGAACCTCACGGGAGTCACTCCTCAGTTTATACCGTGTTTTGTTTCAATTAATGTATCATTTAGTTACAAATATGTGATATATCTGAACAACAAAGTGGTCAAAAATCATTTTATTCAATTATTGGAAACATTTTCATGATCGCTTTTTTCGTTTTACATTTTCATTTATTGTCATTTCCATTCAGTCAGTCATTAAGTGCAATTAAAATGTTAATGTGCTACATATCCAAACAAACAAACAAAGTGTGCAATCCAATGAATGTTAATCTAACTGGGTTTTGATAGATAACATACATATTTTACTTCTCTCAATTATTTTATTTCTATTGTGCACTCTAATCAATATTAATCAAACTATTGTTCGTTTATACATTTGAAGAATGGCGTTTATCTTTTTTGAGAATTACTTCTTATTTTATTTCATGTATTTGGATCTACAACAGATGATACTAATGTTTATGTCAGTAAATGTGCACTAACAGAGGCGGGGCTGTTTGTGGAAATAACGGGAACAGAGCTGCTGTCACACGATCAGCTGTGCGGCGTCATCACACACGGACGTCGCTTCACGTGACGCTCTGGAGGAAAGGACGTCCCATTGCTCTTAAAACTAATTTCCCTGCTTCTCGTGGTTTCCTTGCGTCCCTCCATGCTTCCCTGGTGGGAGGGACTAAACGCAGGGAAACGACGCAAGGAATCCATTTAATCGACCTGAGAAGCAGCCAGGGAAATCGTCCTTTCCTCCGGAGCGTCACGTGAAGCGACGTCCGTTTGTGATGACGCTGCACAGCTGATAGTCTGACAGCAGCTCTGTCCCCGTTATTTCCACACACACCCCCGCCTCTGTTAGTACACATTTACTGACACAAACATTTGTATCATCTGTTGTAGACCCAAATAAATACAATTAAATAAGAACTCTTTCTCAAAAAAGATAAACGCCATTCTTAACATGTATAAACGAACATTAGTTTGATTAATATTGATTAGAGTGGACAAAAGAAATAAAATAATTGAGAGAAGTAAAAGATGTATGTTATCTATCAAAACCCAGTTAGATTAACATTCATTGGATTGCACAGTTTGTTTGTTTGTTTGGATATGTAGCACATTCACATTTTAAATAGCACTGAATGGAAATGACAATAAATGAAAATGTAAAACGAAAAAAGCGATCATGAAAATGTTTCCAATAAATGAATAAAATGATTTTTGACCACTTCGTTGTTCAGATATATATATTTGTAACTAAATGATACATTAATTGAAACAAAACACGGTATAAACTGAGGAGTGAGTCCCGTGAGGTTCATGTATTTTCTTCACTCCGCTGGGAAACTGCTCTCATGTCAAGAAGCATCAGATCAGTGCATGCGCTGCCTCGTCCAATCAGTGAGCGATACACAGTAAGGGGGCGGGGTGAGTGTCGACGAGGATTTCATCGAAGGATGGTCTGGTGGTTCCTCGGTTATAGCTCCTCGATTATCGCTCCTCGCTCCTCGGTCCTCCGGCAGAAATAAGGCCATTGGGACGCTACTCAAGATGGCGCAGACAAATCAACTTCCGGTGAGACCGAGACCGAGGAGCGAGGAAATGAAAAATAAGAGAAGTGAGAAGGGCCCTGAGTCTGAAAAGGGAGTTGAGGAGACACCAGACTTGCAACATAGTGAGCCTCCTTCACCGTCCCCAGTAACTGAAGCACCAGATCTGAGAAAATCCACAAGACATAGAAAACCACCTGACAGACTTATAGAACAATAAACTGTTGACATGCAGTTATAAGTGACTTTAAGAAAAGAGCATGGTTGGCATTTATTTGATATTTGTGTCATAAGTTTTTTTCACAATAGATCTTTTATTTAGAGTAAATAGCAAGTTAAAAACTGCTATACTTTCTTTACAGTATGTTTAGACATTTTGAATGTTTAAAATGTTTACATTTGAAGACTGTACGTTCCAGAAGCTTTATAATTAAGAAATGTGTTAAACTGACCTGTTTGGAAAGGGGATGTAATGATAGGTGTTTATGCCTCGTTACAATGCATATATGTTACCACTATTATACTGTTTTTCATCAATATATCACAGGTCTCAGATATATACAGAGCCTGTCTCTGATTGGCTGAAACACCAAACAGATCATTGCAGCATTACCCATAATCCCCTCTGTTTCAGCCCTGTTTCCAAAGTGCTGATTCTCTGTTTGTTACTTTAGATGAAAATAAGCAGGGCCGCCCCTCCCTACAGGCCAATCACGCAGGCTGCATGGGGCCCCACCTTGCGCAGGGGGCCCCGCCCAGAGGGCCTCAGCTGCTGTGCGCAGTTCTCCGCTCAGTTCTCCGTCATTGAGGTGACAAGGGGAGCACGTCTGTAACCCGACACCGTTGCAATTAATCGACATCTGACCAATCATGGCTTTGATACGGCCACTAGTGCAGGTGAAGAGATGTCGGTGAAAAGACAGTTTCAGTCCGGCGCAAGCAAGAGGGGAAAAAAATAAAACATGAAGAAACTCGAGCATCACTCGAAGGTGGGTTATTGTTTGAGTTAAATGTACAACTTGCGAATGTTGTATAAGTCAAATTGCCAATTGCCATATTAAAACATCAGCTGCAATTCAGGACATGAAGAAGGCAGTCTCTGCAGAGCATATAGGCTAATGGAGATGCAGTTATTTCCAGCATTCTTTATTTACCATTCATTCAAGTATGTTATGCCTTTTATCTGCTAATGTACAGGAGGAAGAGTGATACACTGTCTGTCTAGTTGGCTTACATAACAGTTAAAGTTTACAGCCTAAAAAACATGGAGCATGTTTCCCCCTTTTATTCATTTTTATGTCAATTTGCACATTTCATGGTGATGCTCAGCCTCTCCCCTTAACTCCTAACAGTCATCATCATGTCAACCACAACACAGAGAAATACTGAGAGAAATGTGTGTCTAGTTGTTGATGCATTGCTGACAGAGGGAACTAGAATACAGATTTAAGAAATATCAGTTTTTGAGCATGTCATAAGGATGTTTTGTATTACAACTATATTATAATAAAATAATATAGTATTTATATTATTGAATTGATTATGTTTATTATTATTAGTAGAAGTAGTTTATTTGCATTCATTATATTTTAATCTTTTTGAGGCTAGTATTTGGCAGGAAATGCAGACGTATTCACCTGTAAACGCATACTGAACGAGATACATGCACATTTACCATTTACCTCACTGTATACAAAAGTAACTGTGTTGATAATAATAATAAACAGGAATGATATTTGCAAAGTAGCCTACTTTGTTTCCAAAACTTTTTTTTTCACTCCTATCGGTTGGGGGGGGGGGGGGCCTCATCTCACAATGTCGCTTGGGGCCCCAAATTGGCCAGGGGCGGCCCTGAAAATAAGGACCCCCTCCCCACGCCCCTCTGAGAGACATTTGGTTACAAAGAACTCAATGGTGCTCTAGGAGGAGATTCAGGTGATAAGGGAGGGGGGGGGGGGGGGTTACCTTGGTTGGTGATTGGCTAATGGTTACACAAGACAAAACATCGTTATGACATCATAAAGTGGCTAAAATCTGATCAGCTCATTTTCAGACAGGTTTTTATATAAATGGATCAAAAAGAGAGAGAAACTTTCAGAGTCTCTTTCCACAGAGGGGACGCATGTTGATGTAGAAGAGACATGAAGAAGAGGGGACACATGTTGATGTAGAAGAGACATGGAGAAGAGGGGACACATGTTGATGTAGAAGAGACATGGAGAAGAGGGGACACATGTTGATGTAGAAGAGACATGGAGAAGAGGGGACACATGTTGATGTAGAAGAGACATGAAGAAGAGGGGACACATGTTGATGTAGAAGAGACATGAAGAAGAGGGGACACATGTTGATGTAGAAGAGACATGAAGAAGAGGACACACATGTTGATGTAGAAGAGTAATGAAGAAGAGGGGACACATGTTGATGTAGAAGAGACATGAAGAAGAGGGGACACATGTTGATGTAGAAGAGACATGAAGAAGAGGGGACACATGTTGATGTAGAAGAGACATGAAGAAGAGGGGACACATGTTGATGTAGAAGAGACATGAAGAGAGGGGACACATGTTGATGTAGAAGAGACATGAAGAAGAGGGGACACATGTTGATGTAGAAGAGACATGAAGAAGAGGGGACACATGTTGATGTAGAAGAGACATGAAGAAGAGGGGACACATGTTGATGTAGAAGAGACATGAAGAAGAGGGGACACATGTTGATATAGAAGAGACATGAAGAAGTGGATTTTGCATAATAGGTGACCTTTAAAGCTCTTGCACCAACTCCCCCCTAGAGAGCGCTGTTTCACACATATTGACCCATACTGTATGTGTCCAGTAATGCAAAATGTGTCACAGTTTTGAATTATTACTTTAAGAGATTCATTAATCCTTCATCGTCGATTTTAACCTTTAAATGATGGTTTTGTTCTGACCGCTCAGGTCTCCAGTGTGACTCTCGTACCAGAGAGTCTTCTCTCTTTCTGGTCTGGGATCAGATCATCCTCTCACAAACAAACCAAAGACTCGGTGCCTCCAGGGACGTTTGGTCCGAGTGCTTCAGTCGGCTTAGGCCACACAAAGTGAGAAACAGACACATGATGGGGAGGACACTGGAAACAATGCTGCTCCATAAACAAGTAAAACAAGTTGTTTTCACCTGAAATAACTACAACAATCTGCCAATAGAACAAGTGAAAATGTGCTTGGTAAGATTTCTTGAAATAAGATGGGATATTTAGATGAATCAGATCTTGTAATTAACTGGGAGAACTTATTTTAAACTATATTTTACCAGGATCAGGAAATGTTGTGTTACAATATAAGCCGCAAATGCTGAAAAGTGTTCTGTTTTCTGATGTTAGTTGGTGATGTTAGTTACAAGATGATGCATCGTCTCAAAACAAGACCCGATATCTCACTGCGGTGTCACTTCTGAAGTTATTATTTCTTATATCAGATGTAAAGACATATTCTGACTAGATATTAGACGAATAAACTGGGCAAGATTTTGAGTGTTTGTAGAGAGTTATGAGGAATTTCCAAATGTGCTGAAAGACTTCCTGTATTTCTGCAGGTCTGCTGCTGCGTCCAAACTGAAGCTCCTGCAGTCAGACGGCTGGCTGGACGGACATACGGTCTCTCTCCACTTCACCTTGTTCAGCCCTGCACCAAACCTGTTCACCAGTGTGACCCTGCACACTGAGCAGAGCCCCCCCGCTGGCCTACTGCCCTCTGCCAGGGTCCAGTCAGTGGGGGGCTGTCACTCTCCTGCTGTGGGGGAATATGGTGTCATGGTGTGCCAGGTAAAATACTGCATTAGCTTTTAATCTGTGGAAACCACTAGTCTGCAGCTGGAGAGAATCTACAGACAAAAAGTCACACACCAAAATACAAACAGAGGTGGGAGAAGTACTCAGATCTTAGATTTTAGTAAAAGTAGAAGTGTTCAGATCTTGTGCTTAAGTAAAAGTAGAAGTACTCTGATCTTGTACTCGAGTAAAAGTAGAAGTACCCGAGTGTAGGAATACTCTGTTACACTAAAGGTCCTTAATTCAAAATGTTCCTCAGGTAAAAGTAGAAAAGTATTCTCATCTAAATATAGTTAAAGTAGCGACAGTAAAAGTAGTCGTTGTGCAGATTGGTCCATTTCAGAATAATATATATGATATGTTTTATAATGATTGATCATGAAAGTGTTCTCAAAGCTGGTAAAGGTGCAGCTAGTTTGAATGACTTTGTATACTGCAGGGTAGCTGGTGGATTTACTCCAGGTGGAACTAAAGTCTGATTTAACACTTCATTATATTTCACATCATTCATCCACATCTGTGAAGCAACTAAAGGGATTAAATACATGTAGTGGAGTCAAAGTACAATATTCACCAGGTGTCCAAATTCATTCTATAACAAGAGTAAAACGGGGCTGGCGTTCGCCCACTGGTGAGAATGAAACCCTTGTCGAGCTCGGGAGAATCTTTTTTTAAATGTTCATCATGTGCTTCTTCCTCCCCTCCAGCTCCTCTTCCTCGTCCTGTCTCTGCTGCAACTCTGTCGTCAAGTGTACGCTGTAGGGGAGCAAGGGCTGATGGGATACTGGAGGACTCCCTGCAACTGGCTGGAAGTGAGTCTACTGCATATGCATTAACACACACAGGCAAACATATAACAATCAACATACTATGATATCTTTTTGGCTTGCACACAATTTTAAGACACAGTAAACACACAGAAACACACACACACACACACTCACACACACACACACACACACACACACACACACACACACACCACACACACACACACACTCACACACACACACACACACACACACACACACACACACACACACACACACACACACACACACACACACACACACACACACACACACACACTACCTGCAGAGTAAATAAGCCGGCGTTATACACTCCAAAGTGGCAAAAAAGATTTCAGAACAGACAAAAAAATCCTTAAAGACTGAGTTAAGGCCACATGCCAATGAGGGTTTGATCCACGCAGCATTTCAGTGACTGAGGGGCAATCCTTGTGCTTATTTCCCATTTGCTTATCGTTTTTTAACACGATACACACCCTCCACTAAAGGTCCTAACATTCCCTGTGGCTCCCTCCGGATGTCAGGTGTACGTGAGACACTAAAAGAAAAACGACGGATCCCAGTTTTTCAATCACAACCAAATAATTGCTTTATTCTGCCTTTTGTTTATTACTTTATTTATCGTTTACTACACAATAACATTTCAGATGAATGAAATTCAGTTCAAGATTACTTGTTTCAAATTAAGATGTTTTCTTTTCTGATCCACATTTGCATGCATTTCCATTACGAGCCAGAGATTGCTTTGTGCATGAGAGATTGCTTGGTCATGATAGTTTCAGTATACAGTATAGCTCCTCTAAATGTTCATTTACAGAAAGATGAAGACATTTCCTTGATTGTTTTTTTTTGTTACTTTTCCAGTGCACAGAAAAGCCTACATGTGTAACGGTGCGATTCGTAATTGAAGTGTTTTTTATTTAAAATAATTAGCGATCATAAATGCTTATATTGAGATCAGTGGATCCATCATAATCACTTCTATTTTTCTGTCAGTATTTCTATTTTTCTACCCTCTGAATGGAATCACATTATTTATTATCTAATACTGAATATGGCTGACGGTGTACAGTTCCATTTTATTTATTTTTAAGATAAAAGTTTGAAAGCAAGATATTTAGAGAAATTATATATAATTGAAGTTGTCAAACCAAGTGAACTTGTCATTTATTTCACAGGTTGGTGCCTTCCTTAGGTGGCAGATTTGATTTAGGTTTGCAATGCTTGCACAAAGTCCCACATAGAGTTGATGAGCAGTGGGATCAAATGATCTGTCCGATATGAACTCCTACGTGACGTGCGGTCAATGCACTCTCATTTCTGTGTTGCAATTCAGTTTTGCTCGTGATTTTTACTGAGCCCTGTTAAGAAAAAAAACGACATTAAAAAAAAAATAAAAAAAAAAGTTTTCATTAATGTTTTTGTCTTTTCTGCAAGAGGTCATTTTAATACATCTTGGTTGATGTGTCTGTCTGGTTTAGATATACACGTTTGTGAAGACACATGATGCTTTTGGGGACCTTTACACATTACGCTTAATTTAACTTGTTGTCAAACTCAAATACACAGTGGGCCAAAATAAAAAAAACGGTACTAGTCGAGGGCCAGACTGGTTCAATGTTTATTGCAAAACGTATTGAAAGTAACTTATTGCACATATTAAACCTGGAACTAACAAAGCTTAAATGATTGCATATAAAAACAACATTAAATAATCAGCTGCATTCATTTCTTATGGCTCTATCTGCAGCTTTTCCAGAGTCATTTCTTATGATTACATTTTCCCACAGGCCAACAACAGCTTCAACAAAACGATTTCCCTCCAAAACCAAACATGCCCTGTTGTCGTGAGAGAAAAAGTGCAGAAGGAAACATCCATTGAGCTCAGTGTGCTGCTCGGTGATGCTAGTTCAGATACTTGGCATCTCATCTTGGGTGCAAGGTCATCAATGTTTGGGCTCAGGCTCTGAGCTGAGGAGACCCTCAGGATGGAGTGAAGGTGTGCGGGCCAGATCTAATAGCAATTAAACATTATCCTGCGGGCCGAAATTAAATCCACCAAGGACCTGATTTGGCCCCCGGGCCTTGAGTTTGACACATGTGTGTTGAGGGAACTGACTGTCTTGTTGACATGAAGTGAGCGATGTCTCCCTCTCGTGGTGAAAATGTAAAAGTGTTATGCACAAAGACTTTTCCTCTTCCTCTTACATCATGTGGTCACTCACTTTCAGCTCTTCTCGAATGTCGCGCTCCGTCCTGATCCACCTGCGAAGGGAAGCACATGATGTACGTAATAAACCCTTCCCTACACTTAAAAGTATCACATGTACACAGGGGCGCCGCCAGGGATTTTGGGCCCCAGATATCACATTGGTTACTTAAACATTTTTTTCTTAATGTTCTAAAGTAGTTTGGGCCCCAGGCAGTGCCTGTGGAGGCGTGTGGCTCTGTGGGGTGTCCGTAGGTGTTCGGATCAGGGGGTCACAGGTTCAAACCCCACTGCAGTCAGCATGTCGTTGTGTCCCTGAGACACTTCACCCCAAATTGCTCCTGTCGGGATTGTCCACAGTATTGAGTATGAAAGTCGCTTTGGTTAAAAACGTCTAACAAGTAACATGTAATGTAATGTCAGTCACGGGCCCTTAGAATCGTCCTAACTTTTCACCCCCTTACGGCGCCCCTGCATGTCAACCCAGTCTCACGGCATTTCGTGTTCACCAACACGATTTTTAAAATCTATTGATTCGTGTTGCACAGCACGATTTTAAAAGCAATGTATTTCTACTGCCTGCAGCACGTCTTTTTCTCCGGTCGGGTCGAGGAAGACCGGAAGCTGTGTGGTTCATAAAAACATGTTCTTACTCAATATCAAGCCACAGTTATTGCTTTTATTTGAAATCGTATAATTTCGGACTTTTGTTGCCGTCTGTGAGGAAAATAAATGGGGCTCAGAGCCTCAGGATACTGAAATCTGTATTTTTTTAAAATCTTTTTTTCCTTCTAATTTGTTATTCTTTTCAAAATAACACACTGTTATTTACTCACCAATAATACACAATTATCCTTGCTTTTATTTATTGGTTTAATTCCATAATCTCTGGCTTTTTTGGCATCCGTCAGGAACTGAATTTCAAAATAAAATTAACCGGAAACAGACGTAGGCATTTCGAGCGATTACCCAAGATCCTCAGCTATGGTTTTAAGCTCGCTTATTGGATGTTTTAGCCGCAATGCATGCTGGGATTTGGTGTTTATATTATATGAAATCCGGAAAACATTTTAAAAGAATAAAATAATACTTAATTCCGAGCGCTCTTGCTTTTCTCTTTGAAAGTCATCACATAACGGCATTGTAATACACGGTTCGGCTGCATTGTATATTACAGATCTGCCGTAGTTCTTTATTTATAGAGCCCTGATGAGAAGACCTTTGGAAAAACTGAGAAAATGCCGCCCAAACTGAATACTTGACGTGGATCATAAATATATTCAACAATTAAACAACATCTTCAATTTCTCTTCACACAATACGTCTCCTTGCAGTATCAACACTAATTCGGCTGACTTTTACATTTGATCTAATTCACAGATAGGTTATATTTACACCATAACGGTGCACAGCTGATATAAAAGGACTGTAGTTTTTAAAGATATTACTGATTTTCTTTGAATATAAGAATGTAAATACTGAGTCTGAAATAGTATAGCAATATGCTGTAAAATTATGTGAAAGCATGCATAAAACTACACATCTTCAGATGTTGTACGAAAACAAAAGTGTCCTACACTAATAATACAAAGTTATTATGGCTGTGTGTACCTTGTGTGCACCGCCTAGTGGTTAAAGCACGTTATTGAATTATTGTGTTTTATTTGATTACAAAAATATTAAGAGTACATACTTTCATAGGGGGAAAGTATAAATATAGAATATAAAAAATCAAGAAGATACTATAAGTGATCTCTACAATAAAACAGTTTAGTGCAGAATGTACAAAGATATTAATAGGAGGAGGTGCAAAACAGAAAAACGAATTAACCTTTATTTAAACATGAAATAACAGATTAAGGTCTTCTTTTAAATAAGAAAAAAACTTTGGGGGTATCTATCTACAGATAAATATTAAGCCTGACAAAGTACTTAACGTCTAATATATTGCTTTCCTGCAATGTTAATATGTTGAAGCACTTTTTTTAACTGATATTATACATATGAATTATACTCTTATGTCTGTAGATAGAATAAGAAATGTGCAGAATATGACAGTTTAATGGTGGAGGTACACACATATTGATAGATGTCTTGTAATGCACTGTTGAGGAACCTGTGACCCAAGTGTTTCATTCATTGCATAACTACACCGTAGTTGTGTATATGATATGTCAATAACCCTTTGAAAATCTTGAAAGGGATGCGCAAAATAGCCATAATATACAGTCTTTAATTAACTATTAGTAGAGAATAACGAGTAATGAATATACTTTATTACTCGTTTCCATTCATGTCAATTGCAGATACATGTTTAGTCTTCTCAAGCACCAACTATCAAATATCTCTCCTGATTGTTGGCACTTGACAATCACCTTACCTGAATTTTACTCAGGTGTAACTAAAGTCTGATTTAAGGGTTGTTTATATTTCACATAATTAATCAGAATCTGCAAAGTAACTCAAATAAATGCAGTGGAGTAAAAATACCAGGTTAACCTCTGAATTGTAGTGGAGTAGAATTACAAAGTAACAATGAGCTGTCATGTGGGTATTAATGCTGCGCATTATGGACACAAGCGATTTTCACCCATTTATTAATTATATGTTTTACATTTGATAACACCAATGTGTTTAATACTTGCAACTTCTAATTGTGGGAAAAACGAAAACGTTCAGTAGAGACGTCCCATAGAACATTTTGCGAAACACAATAGCCAGCATGTGTAGTTCTGGGGGGGCGTTCGATTCCAATTTTGGATAGTCTGGCGTGGTTTCGTTCCATTTCACACAG